GGTTACCATAATTTTTTTTGTAAAACAAAATAAGAAATCGTCTCTCCCTTTTTTTTGTTGTTACACATACACACACACACACACACACACACACCATTGTATAAATATATTTTAGTGGTTTGTTATTAGAGTATTACCTATTGCAAGGACTAGGGATTTTACTTTAGCACACAAATGAAACTGTGTATGTATACAACTACATGATATGTTTTTAGCGTAACTGGCCATTTATGTTAATTGGATACAGGGATGGTCCTTACATATTTATAACAGGCTGTGGGCCATCCCATTCATTTTTAGAAAAGTTTCTTCTTGGCTTTCGTACAATTTTAACCATTGCTCTGTAAAATCAAGGATTATCCTCAGTCATTTTACAGTTTTTTGCTTGGTTTTTTTCTTCCCTCTAACAGCACGTTGTTTTTTAATGATATATAAGCAACTAAAGGGTTAATGATTTCACCATAATTGGTATCACTTGTGATATTTTCTGTATTTTTACAGTCGTTGTTACTGGATCAGCATTAAGCACATATTTTATAATGGGGACTCCTGCCCCCGTGTTTAGTAAGAAATGTATAAACCTGTCCCCAGCGCAGATGCGAGTATAGGGGTCTCCCCAAACACGTAAGGCCATGGGTTACTGAAATATTCGTTTTGAGTCTTGGGGCTTACTATTCATTTAGTTGCAATCGGTCCATTTAGTTTTGAGGTCAAGGCAGCAGCCGCCGGTATAGAGGACTTTTTCTTATCTTTTTGTTTGAATTCCTGCCTAGGCTAACAGCTGTGCCTGCAGTTTTTGGTTTCTTTCTTAAGAACTGTGTTTTTGTATAACTGCTCTGCTGGAATCCACCCCCACCCCTTTTGGTGTGTGTTGCATAGCAGACGGGAGCAGGTAATCGCCCGAAGGTCACAGCAGACAAGCGACACCGAAGACTTTACTTTCATGTTTTGCTTAAACGTGGTATTTTAAGCCCAGGCGGCACTGGGGGCCCTGCTGCATAGCGCTGGCTCCTCCTGTTCCCATGGCAATATCTGGCGTGCCTGCTGGGAATGCCGGGGCCCCTTGCTCTGCCTGGGATGCCGCTCCCGGCCCTGCTCCCTCGCGGAGGGATGGTGCCGTGCCCCGGCTCTCCCGGGAGAGGGGTGATGAGTGGCTCTTTCTACTGTCCCCGGGCTGCAGAGCGGAGCGGAGGGGTCTGGTGGTTCCCAGGCTCTGGGCTTTGCTGCTTGCCTCATTGGAGCAGAAAGGATTTATTCCCCCTCCTGTTGCTGCAGGTGTCAGGGTTTTCTCATCTTCCCCAGGAGCGCTGGGTGCTGCTGCAGCCCGGGCTGGGGATGGGGCTGGGCTGTGCCAATGCTCCTGCTGACACCCACCCCACAGGGTCCTGGCTGGGGGGTCTTGCCCCCGTGCTCGGGCTCAGCCCTGGGCTGCACCGGGGCAGGAAGGGATTTACCCCACGGTCAGATCAGCACGGACTGGGGGACTTCGCCTTCCTTCGCACGCAGTGAGGGACATGGCCCTCTGCCCAGGATCTCCTGAGCCTATTTTAACAGGCAGCTCCCTGTCCTTGAGTTGCAGGACATTGGCAGGGCCCTCGCCCCCTGCTTTGCCTGGAGCAGGTTAAAGGTGTTTGGGATGCTTTGGGTGCAGTGCTCAGTAGTTGTGCAGTTGTTTGCAAAGTTTCTAAGAGCAGGTGTGACGAACACTTGTCTCGGGTGGTGTGGGTGCGGAGGATGGTACCTCAGTCAGAGGGTTGGACTGCGTTTCACCTGGGCGACCTCCAGAGGTCATTTCCATGCTTTGGTGTACCCGTATTTGCCCGCCCCAGGGTGTGCCCTGCAAGGCCCGCTGCTTTCCATGGGCCTGCTGCTTGGCCCTGAGCTAGGGATACATGATGGTGCCCTGCCTTGAGCCTGCTTGTGCCTTGGGGCCAACTGGGATGGGATGGGATGGGATGGGATGGGAGGACCCGTGCGATGCTTGATTTCAGCCAGCCCGGCCCAGCCCAGCCTCTGCTCAAGCCCCCGGAGCTTCCCGTGCGGGTTGTTCCCTCACCCTCCTGTTCCTCCCCGAGGAGGCTGCTCCCGAGATCCCATCTAGCTCCAGAGCGCTCAGCACCGCAGAACACAGCCCCTGCCCAAAATGGCTCTCTGGGGCGCGGACAAGTTGGGGTGCAGGGAGGTGCTGGCGCCGTGGCTGCTGATGGAGTCCAGTTCCCGCCCTTCTGGCCTGGCTGCCCGGCAGGGTCAGGGCAAGGAAAGCCCCGTGGCGTCGCGGCCAGTCCCGGGAGATGGCGAGGGCAGCAGCCAGGAGGGCGAAGCTCTGCTCCTACTGCTCTGCTGCCCTCCTGGCTTCTTTCGGGACCCTCTGAGACACGAGCGCCCACACAGCGTTACGCAGCTGGCATGCCGCGCTGCTCCACCTAGGGACGTCTCCCACGCGGCTCCCTTGCAGCCTGCCGACCTGCCAAAACATGGCTTGGCAGAGGGGCTTGGGGATCTGTCACACAGCTCTCAACATGCTTCCCCTCCCCTTTCTCCTGTGGCCCTGGAGGAGCCGCTTGCCCCGTGCAGGGGGACTGCCTCACGAGGCCCCCGTGCAGCAAGCGGTGAACTGGCTGAATGTGCAATTGCAACGTCTCCTCCGGCTGGTCCTGGAGGCTGTGGGCACTGGTGCTGCTTTGCTGCGGGGTGTGGGGCGCTGTGGCTGGGCTGGGGAGCGGGGAGCCGGCTCGGTGCATGCAGCCACTGGAGGTCACTGTTCCCCCGTGCTGGCCCGGCGTCACCCGCACACAGGCCACGCGGCTGCTCGGGATGTTGCTGGCACTGCTGTGCTGCTTGTGTGGGTGGCAGTCCGTGGGCTCTGCATGGGGCACCCTCGTGCCCCTCAGCTGCACCGTGAGCAGTCACCGCTCCAGCAGCCCAGTGTCCCCTGGCCCTGACCAGGGTCCTGCGGCAGGAACGCCTGGGCAGGCTTGGCTGCTGGACTGGGGCACAGGGGCACGATACCCAGTGCTGTGATAGAGGCGGGCAGGCTGCAGCATTGCGAGGGGCCCGTAGGGCAGCGCAGTGACCAGGTCACGTTCACGCCCTGGCCCCGGGCTGCTGTTTGACTGGCAGCGTTGCTGATCCTGTTTGTTATGCTGGAGCACGAGCCCAGCCACGTCCCGGGACAGGTCCTGCAGCAACCTCCTGCCCCTTGGAGGAGGCGAGGGCAAGGGGCAGGAGGGCTGGCACCAGCGGCAAGGGGTGAGGGTGGCTGGGGCAGGCGCAGGTGCGACAGACGGCCTTGGTGCCTTGGCATGAGTGTGCTGTGATGGGCAAGGGGCTGCTGAGGACTGGAGAGACAGGGAGGGGAGCGGCAGCCAGGGACCCCCAGCTCCCCACACAGCCTGGCTCTGCACAGCCTCAGCACCAAGCAGGGCCCTGCCCTCCGCACACAGCCCCCGGCCCAGGGCACCCAGGAGCAGACGCCCCTCACACCCACGCAGCAGGCTTTGGGCCTCCAAGGCCCGGCCCCATGGTGGGTCATGAGTGAGGCTGTGGGACCGGGGCCTGTGGGACCTGGTCCCATGGGGGTGATTAGTGAGGCCGTGGGGCTGGGGCTGTGGGACCTGGTCCCGTGGAGGTGGTGAGTGAGGCCGTGGGGCTGGGGCTGTGGGACCTGGTCCCGTGGGGGTGGGTGGGGGTGGGGGGGGGGCGGGGGTTACCTGGTCCCGTGGGGGTGGTGAGTGAGGCTGTGGGGCTGGGGCTGTGGGACCTGGTCCCGTGGGGGTGGTGAGTGAGGCTGTAGGGCCGGGGCTGTGGGACCTGGTCCCGTGGGGGTGGTGAGTGAGGCTGTGGGGCCGGGGCTGTGGGACCTGGTCCTGTGGGGGGTGGTGCATGAGGCCATGGGGCCGGGGCCTGTGGGACCTGGTCCTGTGGTGGGTGGTGAGTGAGGCCGTGGGGCTGGGCCTTTGGGACCTGGTCCCGTGGGGGTGAGTGAGGCTGTGGGGCTGGGCCTGTGGAACTGGTCCTGTGGCTGTGTGCTGGGTCAGGACTGGAGAAATGGACTCACATGGAGCCTGGTCCCGTGGCCCTGGGCAGTGCCTCCCACTCACGTTTCTGGACTCCCCTCTCCTTTGCCCACCCCGCTGCCGGCTCCTGCCGCATCTCCCATTTTCCCCTCCTCCGCCCCCCGAGCTGTCATGTTGGCCCCTCCCCTCCCCACGGTGACGTGGCCCGCAGGTGCGTGCCTTGGCCCAGCACAGCATGGCTTCAATTAGCCCGTGCACCTTGGAGCGGTCGTGCTCACGGGGTTATGCTTGGGAGGTGCCGCAGGGGACGTGACCCTGGCCCGCATGCCTCTCCTCTCCCCGTGGCTCCGGGCAGATCACTTGTGTCCAGGCTTCCCAACTTCAGGGACTGGGAGGGTGACACTTGCTCCCTGCCTGCCGTGGGGAAGGGCGTGCATGGAGGTTGGGGGTGTCGGGAACCAGTCACTCACCCATCCTCTGGGAATTGCCTTGCAGACTCTGCCCTGGTAACAGGAGACCTCTGCCCCCTTTCCCTGCCCCATAAGCCCTGTGCGGTTGCTCTTGGCCAGCGTGTGGGGTGGCTGCCCGGGCTGCAGGTCTCTAACATGGAGACAGACTCAGAGGGCTGGTAAGGACCTCAGGAAGTCACATCTGTTCCAGATTCTGGCACAAGGCTGGATGACCCGTCTAAACGGTCTCAGACAAATGCTTGGCTAATCAGCACTTAAAAACTTCCAGTACCAGCGAGTTTTCCGACTAGTTCAAAGCCGCGGGTAACATTTGCATGCGTGGCGTGGAGGAACAAAAGCTGGCACCCGCTCCACTGAGAGATCAGCTCTCCCGCTGGGCATGGTTCAGAGCAGAGCCTTTCCAATGGCAGCTTTAGAAGTCCTGGGACCAAATCCATTTGCTGTATACAGCCGTGGCAGGAGCAGTTATTGTGCAGGGCTGATTAAGACAAAGATCCACTCTGCTCAGATAATCTTTTCCAGGTTTTAAAAGTTTCCCTTTATTGAGTCAGAGGAAGGAGCCCGGGGCGCACTTTGTGACAAAGCCGGTTCCAGGAGACATTCCCTCCAGGAGAATGCGGCCCTGGCAGCGCCCTCACTTTGCCCCAGGCAGGGTTTAGGCAGGCGTACAGCACTGGCAAAGCTTGTTCAGGGGCTCGCATGGCAAGAAGAGCTGAACCCAGGACAGAAATCCTCCGAGCAGGCTGGCTAGAAGGCTGAGGCACCTTTCCTTCCATATGCCCGAAATGCAAAAAGGGAATGTTGCAGCTTTGAATAAACAAAAACATGGAAATAAGACCCAGGATCCCTCAGTTCTTGGCTAGCCTCCACAAACCACATTGTACAGATGGATCTCAGTAGAGAAGAGGAACTCTGACAGCGTAATAGGTCTGTGGGTCAATAAAGTGCACATAAAAGTAAGGACAAAGTAAACCCAGCCAGACACCCATAGATTCACAAACCTCAGCGAAGAACTAAGCAGTATAAATCAGAGTAGAGCAGGCAGGTGTCATGCAAATCTCTGCTGATCATTCTGGACAATAAACCCACCGTACACTTCACAGCCGAGTCCCCCGAATACGGACCTCAAGCCCAGAGACGATGCCAGTTCCAGCCTGCGCAGATGGTTTGGCTGTCTCGTTTCATCTCTGAACTATATGAATTTGAAATTACGTAGAGAGGATACCAAGGATTGCTCCCTTGATCTATGTCTCTATGTATCATTAACTCAGAATTTATTGTATGAGCCAAGAACTTCAGGGAGCCTGCACAAAACCCACGCATTTCCTGAGGCTCTCCAGGAGAAGAGGTTACAAGAAAAAAAGCAGGAAATAATCGTGCAACACTGGCAGATAAATGAGAAACCACAAAATGTGAAAGAATAAAATACAAATAAATTGGTAAAGAACATTGAAAAACGAAAGAGAAAGTAATACAGAACTGAGGAGGAAAAATAAAGGAGAAATATAACACGGGCAAAATCGAAGGGCAGAGATAAACTATGTAGGTACAAAAGAGATAAACACAGTAGGCACTAATGGAATTGAAATAATAAAAGCTTTGATAAACAAAGTAATAATACAGCAGACAATCCAAAAATGACTTAATATCCCTGCATCCTAACCTCCAGCAAAGACAGTCCACTCTCGGGGTCTGGGACGCAGCGACTCAGGAGCTGCGCGTAAGTGAGATTTTCATGGGTGTTGGGGTCGAAGAAGCCCTTGGTGTCGTCGCCGGGGTCCGAGAGGATCTGGCTCATCTCCTGGTCGAAGTAGCCCCGCTTGTAGGCCACCTCCACGGGCAGGCGGTGGCTGTGCACCGGGTCGATGATGCCGCCGGTGGCAATCTGGGCCTCCAGCAGGCGGATGCCGTGGTCCTTGACGATGAGGTCTTTCTTCATGGCCTGGAAGAGGGAGATCTGGTCCCCGGTGTAGGGGTCGCGGTAGCCGGTCACGGCTCTCTCGGCCGAGAGAAGCTTGTCGTGGAGCTCGCTGCCCACCAGGCCGGCGTCCACGGCGGCGTCCACGGACAGCTTCTGGTTCTGGAGCGGGTCCACGATGAAGCCGGTGGCCGCCTGCGCCTCCAGCAGCACCAGGCCGGTGCCCGGCCGCAGGATCCCCTTCCACATGGCCTGGCAGATGCTCATCTTCTCCATCTTGGACGGGTCGGTCTTGGAGGGCACCAGGAGGCCAGCGATGCAGCTGGTGCCCTCCAGGTACCTCTTGACGGAGTCCCTTTGCGCAATCTCCTCCACCGTCGTGGTGCCCTGGGTGAGGTCAGCCAGCGTCTTCTGGTCCAGGATGTCCGAGCTGAAGAGCTCCGAGGCGGTCACCCGTCTGCGGAGGCCCTGGAACTTCACTTGGCTGCTCCTCGCGTCCGTCTCCTGCATGATGACGGTGACGAGGCGGAGCAGCTCTTCCAGCGTCACGCTCCCTGCTCGGTACTGCCCCAGCAGCTCCTGCCTCTTCCCTTCCGAGATGTATCTGGAGTGGAGCAGTTCCCACACAGACACCTCGCGCCCGGCAAAGTCGCCGCCCGGCCCGGCCACGGTCCTCGACTTCAAGGCCTTCTCCAGCTCCCGCTCCCGCTCCGGCTCCGGCTCCCGCTCCCGCTCCCGCTCCGGCTCCTTTCGGGCACGAGCGGCGGCGCCGTCCTCCCCGGCCCTCTCTCTGCCGGCTGCTGTCCCGTTGGAGGTTAGCTCGCCCGCGCTGCCTCGGGCCTCCCGGCTGAGGATGGCGATGACGATGGAGACCAGCTCTTGGGTGGGGAGCGTGCCCGCTCTGTGCTTCTCCAGCAGCTCTTGCCGTCGCTCGGGGGCGACGTCCCCGGAGAAGAGCAGCTCCCACACGGAGACCTTTCGCCCTCGGAACTGGCCGGCGGGCACGTCGACCATGGTGGCCCGCAAGCTCTTTTCCCAGCCGTCTTCCCGGGACGAGCGGTCGGCCCCGGGGGAGCGCGCCTCCGGCCCTGCCTCCAGCTTGGTGCTGGGGCTCTTGCCAGGCCCGTGCTCCCGGCTGCTCTTCTCCTCGGTCTCGGTGACGATGGTGGTGAGGACGGTGATCATCTCCTGAACGCTCAGCCGCCCCGCCTTGTACTTCCTCAGCAGCTCCTGCCTCCTGTGCTCCAGGACGTAGCGGGAGAAGAGCAGTTCCCAGACGGACACGCTCTGGCCCTGGAAGAGGCCCACGTGGACGGCCACCCGGGCGGACTGCAAGGCTTTGCGCGCGTCCTCGTTGAGCTGGAAGAGCACGGAGCCCTTGTCCATGAGCTGCAGCATGAGGAGCCCCGAGTCGGGGTCTGGGACGCAGCGGCTGAGGAGCTGCATGTAGGGGAGGGTCTCCTGGGTGTGGGGGGCGGAGAAGTGCTCTGGATCAGAGAGCAGGAGCAATGTATCATCATCTAAGAGGCTCCGCTTTTCAGCAACCTCCACGGGCAGGCGGTGGCTGTGCACCGGGTCGATGATGCCGCCGGTGGCGATCTGGGCCTCCAGCAGGCGGATGCCGTGGTTCTTGACGATGAGATCTTTCTTCATGGCCTGGAAGAGGGAGATTTGCTTCCCTGTGTAGGGGTCTTGATAGCCGGTCACTGCTTTTTCTGCGGAAATAAGCTTTTTGCGAAGCTCGGTGCCCACAAGGCCAGCAGAGATAGCTTCCTCGACCGACATCTTCTGGTTCTGGAGCGGGTCCACGATGAAGCCGGTGGCCGCCTGCGCCTCCAGCAGCACCAGGCCGGTGCCCGGCCGCAGGATCCCCTTCCAAATGGCCCGGTAGATGCTCATCTTCTCCATCTTGGACGGGTCGGTCTTGGAGGGCACCAGGAGGCCAGCGATGCAGCTACTCCCTTCTAGGTATCTTTTTATCGAAGCAGTATTTGCTATCTCTTCTGCACTTGTTTTTCCTTCCTCCAACTTTTCCATTGTATCTTTTGTGATGATCTCTGCCGTGTATAGTTCTCTTGCTGTTATTTGCTTTCTGAGTCCCTTAAACCAGATATCATTTCTGTCCCTTTCTTTTTCTTTAATAATGTCTAAGATTTTGTCTATCAAATGTTGTGTTATAACAGAAGATTGTGCTTTGTATTTTTTTAAAAATTCCTTCCTCTTTTCTTCTGTGATATATTCTGAGTTTAGGAGTTCCCAAAGTGATAATGTAAGGCCTTGATATTTTCCTATTGATACCTGTACTTTTGTTGCGAGGAAGTTGTTTTTGGTTTCCTCATCAATGTAGAAGTAATCATCCTTCTTTTGTAGGAGCTGGAGAAAGTACAGTCCTGTTTTTGGCTCTCTGCTGCATCTGTTCAGGAGCTGGGCATAGGTGACTTTTTCATGAGTAACAGGATCCATAAATCCTTTGCTTCCATGCTCTGGATCAGAGAGCAGGAGCAATGTATCATCATCTAAGAGGCTCCGCTTTTCAGCAACCTCCACGGGCAGGCGGTGGCTGTGCGCCGGGTCGATGATGCCGCCGGTGGCGATCTGGGCCTCCAGCAGGCGGATGCCGTGGTTCTTCAGGATAAGGCCTTTCTTCATGGCTTGGAAGACAGAAATCTGGTCCCCAGTGTTGGGGTCACGGTAGCCGGTCACGGCTCTCTCGGCCGAGAGAAGCTTGTCGTGGAGCTCGCTGCCCACCAGGCCGGCGGCCACGGCGGCGGCCACGGACAGCTTCTGGTTCTTGAGCGGGTCCACAATGAAGCCGGTGGCCGCCTGCGCCTCCAGCAGCACCAGCGCAGTTTCTTCACTTAGGAGGCCTCTCTTCACCGCCTCATAGATGCTCATCTTCTCATTGTTTGCTGGGAGTTGCACCCCAGCAACGCATCCTGTCCCGTGCAGGAATCTTTGGATGGATTCTGTTTGGACAAGTTTTTGCACCGTTAGACTGCCTTGCTGCAAGCTCTCCAGCGTGTTCTTGTCAATGATCTGCGAGTCGAATAACTCCAATGCTGATACATCACCCCTGAGTCCTGTAAACTTAAGGGCCTGGTTCCTCTGCTCCATTTCCTCAACAATGTTGATGATGGCTGCGATGAGCTGCTCTAGTGTCAGAGTTTCACATTTGTACTGCTTCACTAATTCTTTCCTTTTTTGTTCTGAGATGTAGTGAGAGCACAGAAGCTCCCAGACAGATACTTTTTGGTCTTTGAACTTCCCAACTTGCATTTGGATCGGTTTTGAGTGTAGAAATTGTTTTGTTGCCTCATCAATATAGAAGTACTGGCCCCCTTTCTTGACTATCTGGAGCATGTACAGCCCAGTGTCAGGGTCTTGGACACACCTCTCCAAGAGCTGCATGTAGGTGAGATTTTCATGAGTGTTGGGGTCGAAGAAGCCCTTGGTGTCGTCGCTGGGGTCCGAGAGGATCTGGCTCATCTCCTGGTCGAAGTAGCCCCGCTGGTAGGCCACCTCCACGGGCAGGCGGTGGCTGTGCACCGGGTCGATGATGCCGCCGGTGGCGATCTGGGCTTCCAGCAGGCGGATGCCGTGGCTCTTCAGGATGAGGCCCTGGTTCATGGCTTCAAAGAGGGAGATTTGGGCTTTTGTGCCAGGGTGAGTGTATCCTGTCACTGCCTTCTCGGCGCAGAGCAGCTTGTCATAAATGTCCGCTCCTATCAGCCCTGCTGCCAGCGCCTCCTCCACCGACAGCTTCTTGTTCTTCACGGGATCAATGACAAACCCAGTGGCAGCCTGCGCCTCCAGCAGCACCAGCGCTGTGCCCGGTCTCAGGAGCCTCTTCCTCATGGCTCGGAAGATGCTCATCTTCTCATTGCTCGGCTGTATGATGACTCCAGCTATGAAATTACATCCCTCTAGGTACCTCCGGACCGAGTCCATTTCAGTGACTTCTTTGACAGTTTTCTTCCCCTGTCTGAGCTCATCCAGGGTTGTCTTGTCTATCAGCTGGGACTGGAAGAGGTCGCTGGCTGACACCTGCTTCCGCAGGCCCTTGAAGGCAAACTTCTTTGCTTGCTGCTCGGTCTCTTTGATGACCGTGGTGATGACGGTTATGATTTCTTGCAGCAAATCAGTGGTCTCCTCCTTGTATTTCTCCACCAGCTCTCTCCGCTTGCAGTTTGAGATGTACTCAGAGGTGAGGAGGTCCCAGACAGAGACCGTCTGCCCTTTGAACCGCCCTATGTGAGCAGAGACCGTCACAGATTTCAGCACCTTCATGGTTTGCTCGTCCACGTAGAAAGCTGCATCGTCTGACAGAGGCAGCAGCCAGAGGCCTGTCTCCGGGTCAAGGATGCACCTGTCCTTCAGCTGCTGGTAAGTCAGGCTCTCCTGTGTGTTTGGGTCAAAAAAGATCCTGGTGGTGTCATTGAGCCGGGAGAGGGTTTTGTTCATTTCTTCATCGTAAAAGCCGTGCCTATAGGCAGCCGGAAGAGGAAGGTGGAGATGATGGATGGGATCAATGACCCCTCCCGTTGCCAGCTGGGCCTCCAGCAAGGCAATGCCTGTGCTCAGGGGAATGAGCTCCTTCCTCACCGCTTGGCACACGGAGATGGCGTTTCCTGTGTATGGGTCTGCGTAGCCGGTCACTGCCCTCTCTGCGAGGAGGAGTTTCTCGGTGAGCTCTTCACCCACGATGCCTGCCTTGACAGCATCCTCCACCCCCAGTTTCTGGTTTGTCACTGGGTCTGTTAGGTTTCCAGTGGCTGCTTGAGCCTCCAGCAGCATCAGCCCTGTGCCGGGCAGGAGGAGGCTGCGTTTCAATGCTTGGTAAATGCTCATCTTCTCCTTGGAGGCCTGCACACAGACACCAGCGATGCTCCCAGTGCCCTGTAAGTACGTCTTCACGCTTTCCATCGCGGCTACTTCTCCGGCTGTTCTCGTGCCCTGAGCCAGTTCTTCGAACACGCTCTCATCGATGACACCCGTGTCCAGCAGCCAGACGGCAGGCACACGGCCTCGCAGGCCTTCAAAGGTGATGTGAGTGCGAGCTTTCCACTCCATTTCCTTCACGAGCTTCAGAACGAGGACGACCAGCTGTGGGAGGGACACCTCCTCGGACCTGAACTTCTCCACCAAGTCATTCCTCTGCTCCTCAGTGAAGTAGCCAGAGCTGATCAGCTCCCAGAGGGAGACCCCTCGCTCCTTCACCACCGTCTCCTTGAAGAGCTGCTGGATCTGCTCCTCTGTGTAGACGGGGGCGGCTGTTTGTGGCAAGGGCAGCAGGTGGAAGCCGGAGGTCTCGTCCTTCTCGCACCTCTCGATCAGCTGCGCGTAGGTCAGGATGTCTTTGGTGTTTGGGACAGAGAAGGCCCGGGTGTCGTCGGTGGGGCTAGAAAGGGCTTTGCTCATGCCCTCATCCAAGTAGCCTTGTTTCTGGGCAAACGCTACGGGGACGTGGTGGCCGCAGATGGGATCGATGATGCCTCCGGTTGCAATCTGGGCTTCCATTAGCTGCTTGGCCTGCTTGTCGGCAATGAGGCCCTTTTTCATGGCTTGGAAGACGGATATCTTCTTGCCTGTGAAAGGGTCTTTGTAGCCCGTGACGGCTGCTTCCACGTGCTGCAGCTTCTCGTGGAGCTCTGGCCCAACCACCCCTTCTCTGACGGCATCATCCACGCGCAGCTTCTGCTTGCTCACCGGGTCGATGATGAAGCCTGTGGCAGCCTGGGCCTCCAGCAGCGGGAGAGCGGTCACGGGCGTCACAATCTTCCTCTTCATGGCTTCGTAGATGCTCATCCTCTGGTTTGACGGCTGCAGCACGACCCCGCCGATGCTCCCGGAGCCGCAGAGGTACTTCCTGACGGTGTCCATGCGCAGCACTTCCTCCGGGCTCACAGACCCCTCCAGCACCCTCTCAAACAGAGCCCGGTCGATGATGCCCGTCTCCAGCAGATGGTAAGCCGTGACGCTGCCTCTCATGGCTGGGAACTTGATGGGGGCCCATTTCTTCATCTCCTCCTCCAGCATGGCTTGGATCTGCTCCAGGCTGAGCTTCCGGAGGCGGTAGTGGTTGAATATCTCCCGCCGCTTGCCCTCGCTGAAGTACTCGGAGGTCAGCAAGTCCCACACGGAGACGCGCGTGCCTTGGAGCCTGCCGTAGCGCACGAGAAGCTCGGCGCTGCGCAGGGCGTCTCTCGTGCTGGCGTCGACGGTCTGGCGCTTCCTGCTGTTCAGGGGCAGGAGGCAGAGCCCGGTGGCGGGCTCCGTGATGCACTTCTCCTTCAGCTGCAGGTAGGTGAGGTTCTCCTGGGTGTTGGGGTCGAAGAAGCCCTTGGTGTCATCGCTGGGGTCCGAGAGGACCAGGTTCATCTTCTTGTCGAAGTAGCCCCGCTTGTAGGCCACCTCCACGGGGATGCGGTGGCTGTTGATGGGGTCGATGATGCCGCCGGTGGCGATCTGGGCTTCCAGCAGGCGGATGCCGTGCTCCCGAACGATGTGCTCTTTGCTCATCGCCTGGAAGAGGGAAATCTTGTTTCCGGTGTAGGGGTCTCTGTAGCCGGTGACCGATTTCTCCGCCGACAACAGCTTGTCATATATTTCTGGGCCGATGACCCTTGCACGCAGAGCCTCGTCCACAGAGTACTTCTTGTTGGCCACCGGGTCGATGATGAAGCCAGTGGCCGCCTGCGCCTCGAGCAGGATGAGAGATGTCCCAGGCATTAAGAAGCCTCTCCTACTCGCCTGGTAGATGCTGATTTTCTCCTGCGAGTCCGGCAGGAGCAGCCCGCTGATGCTGCCTGTCCCTTGCAGGTACTTCCGGACCGTGTCCATCCTGACCACTTCTTTGGCCGATGTCTCCCCCTGCTTCAGCTTCTCAAACAAATCCTTGTTAATGATCTCAGAGCTCAGAAGCTGGTCCGGGGTCACCTTCTCCCTCAGGCCTTCAAAAGTGACGTGGCTGGTGGCAGCCACTTGCTCCATGGTGGCACGGACCTCCTTGGCCAGGTCTTGCACGGAAAGTGTCCCTGCTTGGTACTGCTGGGCCAGCGCGGCCCTCTGCCCCGCCGTGAAGTAGTCTGAGAAGAGGAGCTTCCAGAGCGATGCCGACCTCCCCTTGGACTTGCCACGGCCCACCGGTACCTTTGTGTTTTCCAGAGCCAGCCGAGTGCCACGGTCGATGAAGGGCTGCGTCCCCTGAGCTCCTTCCCTCCCCTCCCCGTGCAGCGGCAGCAGGTGCAGCCCGGTGCCTGGGTCGGTGACGCATCTCTCGAGCAGCTCTGCGTATGTCAGGCTCTCCTTGGCGTTGGGGTCGAAGAATCCTCTGATGCTGTCAGAGGGGCTGGAGAGGAGCCGATTCGTGTCCTCGTCTAGATACCCATCCCTGAGGGCCACCTCTGCCGGGAGGCGGTGGTTCTGGCCTGGGGCAATGATGCCGCCGGTGGCCACCTGGGCCTCCAGGAGACACAAGCCATGGTCCTTGGCAACCAGCCCCTTCTTCATGGCCTGGCACAGGGAGAGCAGGGCCCCCGTGTAGGGGTCTCGGTACCCCGTTACGGCTCTCTCGGCTGATGACAGTTTCTCGTGAAGCTCGGGACCGACGATGCCAGCCCTGACGGCATCGTCCACCGAGAGCCGCTTGCTCTTGATGGGGTCCGTCAGGCCGCCGGTGGCAGCCTGCGCCTGCAGCAGGGTCAGCGCCGTGCCGGGCACGAGGAGGTGCTCTGCCAGCGCTTGGTAAAGGCTCTTCGTCTCCCTCGCAGGCAGCACAGCGACGCCAGCTACGTGCCCCGTCCCTTCCAGGGACCGCCGGACCGAGTCCATCTCCGCTACCTCCTGCGCTGAAACCTGCCCCTCGCAGAGGGCTCTGAACGTGTCCGCGCTGATGACGTCGGAGTCCCGCAGCTGGCAGCAGCTCACCCTGCCCCTGAGCCCCGGGAAGGTGATCGTCAGGGGCAGGAGCAGGAGCCCCGTGGCCGGGTCGGTGATGCATCTCGTCTTCAGCTCCGCGTAGGTGACCCTCTCGTTGGTGTTGGGGTCCAGGAACGCTTTGCTGTCCTCATTGCTGGGGTCAGAGAGGAACCGGCTCATCTCCTCGTCCAAGCATCCCCGCTCGCAGGCCACCTCCGCGGAGACACGGGCACCCGTGGCCGGGTCGATCACGCCCCCCGTGGCCAGCTGGGCCTGCAGCAGGCGGGCGCCCTGCTCCTTCCCAACCAGCTCCTTGCTGATGGCCTGGCACAGCGGGATCCTCTCCTCCGTGTAGGGGTCTGCGAAGCCGGTCACGGCTTTCTCTGCAGACAGCAGCCGCTCTTGCAGCTCCAGGCCTACCAGCCCCAGCCTGACGGCGTCCGCCACCGAGCACTGCTTGTTCTTGACGGGGTCGGCGATGGAGCCGGTGGCTGCCTGGGCCTCCAGGAGGGCGAGCGCCGGCTCCAGCATCAGGAGGTGCTCTCTGGTGGCATCGTAGACACTCATTGTCTTCTTGGAGGCCTCAATGTACACCCCCGCGATGGTCCCTGGCACCCCCAGGTGCGCCCCATCGTCTGCCCTGGAGCCCTCCTGTCTCTGGCCTGGAGACGTGGGGCCCTCCATGCTGCCCTTTGGCTCGCTCTGGGTCCTCTCTGCGGGAACAGGCGTGCACGGCTCCGGCTCTGCAGACGGAGAGAAGAGCCCCGTGAGGACCGGTCACTACGGACAGAGAACCACCCCGGGAGGGGAGCCCAGGAACGGGCGTGGCGGGGGGGGAGCGGAGCCACGAGGCCGGCCCCACCCGGAGGGGGACAGGCC